GCGTGAAGATAGCACAGTTCGACTCATTTGGCACTTCAGAAGTATATCATCGGCAAATAACGACGACCAGGAACGGTGACGGAGGGACAACTGGGTTTGGATGCGACGAAGCTTGACGAGTGAGTGCCGGAGTGAATGAAAGTGCACTGTGGTAACTCATAATGCTACAAAAAAGCTTTATAACAAATTAAAAACCCAACAGAAGTGTAAATAACAAAACCTGTACAATGAAAAAACTATACATGCACTACAACAACACAATGTTAGGAAAAACTTTACAACAAATTAAGCTTCAAAGAACAGGAAAAAAATATATATACATATACTGAAGAAGTACATACATCACAACAACCATATTTTTCTTCTTCCATATTTTCCTATATCGCGCCAGGCAACGAACCATCCCACCAGGATCGGGAAGCTTTCCTTCCCCAGTGCTCATCGTTTGCTGACTATTCCGTCGATCATCACCAGCCTGTTCGATGGCCCGCTCTGTGCCGCGAAGCGAACAACTGTTCCGATGGGCCCGAATGACGCACTCGAGCATCGGCTTCAAAGTGTAGCAGCGTCCGATGCACATGCTGCCCGTCCCTGGTCTTCCATTCAGTGTTCCCAGATCTAAAACATTAAAAAATCAAAATTAAAATTTATTCTTCGGAACTTCCTTGCCTGTCTAATTGCTGGGAAAAAAGATGGCGGCAGCGATGCAATTTGAACGGTTCTATAATGCAGAGCACATGCGTAATCAGAATTTCTCACACTACATTTACTGCCCGCACGTGTAGAGTTTGCACTATCACACTCATAATGCTTCTTGTTCACTGTTTACTCGGTTAATTGGGTGAATGCCCCAAACTGGATTTTTCCTGACGGTCACGTTAGATCTACACGTGCCGCAAGACCGAATTTAAAAATTTCATGGTCGCAAATGGGCAAATCCACCCCCTGCCAAGCAAAATCCAGTCAAGTACATATTAGTTTTGAACTGACTTTCAAAAATTAAAAAGACATGTCGGCTCCACTAATCCGCTAGTGATCACTGCAAAACTCTCCAACGACTCAAGCACTTGGTAAATCGGCCCAATTAGAGTACGAAGCGAAAGAAACTCACTGTCCAAGTGACACGAGAAAAACTACCTGTAGGCTTCGCGGAAGATGAACCACAATAGGCGCCCCAACATCACTGGAGCTACACCAGCAGTGGTTTGCCAACTTCTCTTGCTTCGATTGGCGCTTCTGCAAAAACAGTCAATGGAAGGAATACGTAAAGAACCTCTCCTGTCTATTCAAATCCAAGCAGTGATGCACCAGGCTTACTGGCACGAACATGCATTTTTGCACTAAACTTAAAGCACGCAGATCTTTGACGGTATGAATATTTGTTGCTTTACAGTTTAACACCAGGACTCGTGTTGGCTGCTTTTTGGCCTTCTCTTACATGCAAGGGGAAAAGGGCGTCGGCTGGGACTTGTGGTGTTGCATCAAGAGGCCACGTGAAATCTTGACCTCCAACATGCATGATTGCTGTAAATTTATTCGGTGATCAGTGTTCACAGAAAAAGAATGCTGGGTAGGAAGGATGACGAAAACAGCAAAATTTGCTCGTTTTGGGTGTTGCGATAATACTGTATTTTTGTTATGTTCTTATGCAAGGAATTTAGCCTACAAATTAGGTTTAGACAACACTATTCGAAACCGTCACTTAGCTACAAATATCTCTGACATGCCTAAGGCGTAGCGCAAGAGCAATTCGAAACTCCATTCATATATATGAGACCCCAAAAAAGCGATAAATATTCTGGCAGAAATTAAAGCAGTCGCTTTCCAACTAGTTCTTGGATTTGGTATGACGTGTGTCTGTGTGTGTGTGTGTGTGTTTATGTGTATGGCACAAGTGTGCGAGGCAGCTGAAGTCTTTAGCTCATACATGGACAGAGAATATCCCTGCAAAGTTCCAGCTTTCTATGCTTTGCTTAGTAGTTTCCGAAATCGTCTCCAACCGAAAAATTTACATTTTTTTTGGAGGGAAGGGGGAGGGGGTAGGTATACCTACATAAGACCCAAGTACGCATCAGCCATGATTTTAAAACGGGAGGGTGACACACATGCGGTGGAAAGATGCGTCTATAAATTTCAGTTCCCATTTCTCCCGGGTGATGAGTTGAAGCTGGGTAACAAAATTTGCTCTGCCTTCGAAAACAAGGACACACAGACAACCCCTTGACAATATGCGTTTTTGCATTCATATGAGCGCAAAAACGCATAAAAGCAACCCAATACGAGCACCATCACCATCATACGATGTCGAGTAAGTGTTAAGAAACACAAACGGAAACGCAGTGAACGTGAGAAGACTGGGTCCGAAAACAGTAGGGATGCCACACATCGACGTACCCTCCCGAAGCAACATATGCACAACAAGCAGGCGCCCTGAACTCCTCGGCTTCTCGCGTTCTCAATTCCCCGCCACTGCTCTCATGCGGCCCCAGCACCAGCACTGCTCGCCCAAATGAGGGAAATTTATGTATGCATTTTGTGAAAAGCAAAATGCAACAAGAAGTGCTCACCATCTGAAGTGCTCCGCGCCATCTGCGGCCACTTCAGGACGCCTGTGTCGTTTTCAGCAGCCACCACCACGCCCAGTTCACCATCCGAAGTGCTGCGTACCACTGGCAGCACTTCGGGAAGCCTGCGCTGCCCTCGGCGGCGGCCAACTACCTGCAATGAAACACATGAGAACCCAGCACCACGATGCTCCCGATGAACAACCTGAACAACAAACCACGAACAACTGCGAACCCCCTCCGCTCCCCCTCTTCTCGGTCTACCGGAACCAACCACCAACGCAAACCCTAAACCACGAACGAACCGCCAACGACCACGTAACACGCACACACCCGCACAAGTGAGTGACTTGTCTTGAATGACGCAGGCAGGTCGCGCTATGAAATGGGTGTCCCGGACGACTACCGTTTGCCGTCACCGGTACCGGGAAGAGAGCCTCACCACTGAGTGAAGAGTAGCGAGCCGGCGTTGTCCGAGCCTTTTGGAACTCATGGCAGTACGGCGGAG